ACCCTAAACCCTAAATGCCCTAAGCTCTAAAGCCTAAACCCCAAACCCCAAACCCTGAACCCCAAACCCTAAACCCTAAACCCTAAACCCTAAACCCTAAACCCTAAATGCCCTAAGCCCTAGACGAAGCAAGCACGGCAGTCAGGGCAAGAGCCGAGCCCTTGCGCTTCGCCGACACCGGCGCCTCAGGAGTGGCTTAGGGGTCGTAGGGATTTAGGGTTTAGGGTTTAGGGTTTAGAGTTTAGGGTTTTAGGGTTTTAGGGTTTAGGGTTTAGGGTTTAGCATAGGGGTTTGGTAACTTCAGAGGTTTGGGGTCGTAGGGATTTAGGGTAACATAGCATAGGGGTTTAGTAACTTCAGAGGTTTAGGGCTTCAGAGGTTTAGGGTTTAGAGGTTGCTTCAGGGTCATAGGGTTTAGGGTACGATAATAGGGGCCTTCATAATTATTTTTTTGGGGGGTGGTTCCTTATTATGATTATAGTATAGTTACTGGGTCCCAAAACCCTATTCTAAGTTGTTAAGGCCCCTACAGTATCGGGGTTTAGGCTTCGGTCTGTGGGCATTGGGGGTTTTTTAGGGCCCCTTCAAGGCTAAGGGTTGAGGGTTAAGGAGTTTAGATTGCGGATTTGGGTGTTTCGGGGTTGAAAGGGACTTAGGATCTGGGCTGATTTAGGAGTGATTCAGGATTTAGGGTTCAGCGTTAGGGTCTGGCTGGGGTCTGGTATCCGGGTTAGCGTTGAAGGTAAGGGTTAGGATTTAGGGTTTGGGGCTGATGTCGAGGATTGGCATCGAGGTTAAGGGTGAGGGCTCGAGGGCTGAGAGGCTCTGCAGGATTTCCTGTATTCTTGAACCCAAATAACATCGGCTGCCCGTCCTTGCGTGTATAGTCGGTGTTATTTGCCTGTTGTTTATGAGAGAGAGTGTTTTTGCAGTTTAAGTTTGTGGGGCGAGAGCATTTGGGACGGGACGGTCTGGTTTTGGACTGGGACTTTATCCTCAAATCCCAAAGCTCTACGGTATCCGACACAAGGTCTCGAAATCTTGTGGTGCTCAAAAACGGCAGGCTCAATTCAGAAAGAGATTGGAGGCAGCGGAGTTGTTCTGGGCTCTGGCCGAAACCCTAAACCCTGTGCTCTACACCCTTAACCCTAAACCCATCATGCTCATTTAATTCCTGTCGTTCTTGCTACCCTAGCGGCTGCTGTTGTTAGCACCCCCCGGAGGCTTTCGGGTTTTAGGATGCAGCATTTCTGATTTGAGGCACGGGGCGAGTTAAACATCATTCCTTAAGCCCGAAATCCTAAAGTCTTAAAACCCAACTATCAACCACCAAACCGTACCCTCGAATCCTATACCCTGAACCCTAAATCCTCTAAACCCTTCCTTAAGCCTTATAAGCCCTATGAACCCGAAATCCTTAGACCCTATATAAACCCTTTCTTTGGGGTTTTAGGACCCTAAAACTTAAACCCCGAAGCCCTAAACCCCTTTACCCCTAAACCCTAAACCCCTAAACCCTAAACCCCTAAACCCTAAACCCGTAAACCCTGAAAAAAAGAACTCAAAACCCCTAAACCCTCCAAACCCCCCAAAAAGGTGTTAAAAAACT